GGCACACTTACGAAACAAACTTGCGCTGCGCAGGAATCTTTAGAATCTGCATGCCTAATCCCAGTATTGCAGCTTTAATAGTTTTCGAGATCACAGCGTTCATACGGACAGACAGAGAGACGGACATGGCTAGATCGACTCGGCTAGTGATCCTGTTCAAGAATGAATATACTTCAAATTTCAATTTTTTTTCAGTATTTTTAAAGCTTTTTTTTATAGATTTTGTGCGTTATTGCTTCGCAGAAAATCCACTTCAGCCAGAGCGAATACAACAAAACACGAAATGGATTCCAATCGGCTTTCGCCAAAGTGAAGACACGAGGGTAGGACTGTAAGTGAAGGAGAGTGCCTTAAAGTTATTTGTTAAATTGAAAGCTAGCATTGTCGACAATGAATTTGTATTGATAGTATTACATTGATAAAGCAAACAATATGAAATATGTTACTTTGTTCTGCAATGTATGCGAACAAATATACATGCACACATATATGTGTTTACATTTTTTTTGCTTATATTTTGTGTGTATGTTTGTATCCGTAGGTGAGCTTGGATAGGATATTCGTTTAAAAAATCCGAAAAATCCAAAGTTGGCTGTGATTATGCGACACAGCCAGAGCCGTACTAAGAAAGGTCAACTTATTAAAGTCTTTAGCCTGTGGAAAGGATTTTAAAACCACATAGAGAGGTTAAAAAGGACCCCGAAATCGATTGGAATACTTACATATACCCTTCCGAACCTTGCACCCCGTTCTTGACCTTTAAACTTAAATGATTTTTTCTAGCTGCCTAAAACTATTACTAAGTGCCTTTTAAAAGCTTTTGGGTGAATATCCTTTCTAAAGTCCTTCCTATCCTAAACTTGGATCTGTGACGGATAGATCTAAGGGTTGACATTATCCTTTTATGTGACTCTTTCGAACCCAGTGCTAGAATACGATTGACCCAGGTCCTGCAAATAAAAAATTTATTTTTAAAGTGTAACCAGTTTTATTTTAATTTAAGCTACTTTAACGAATTTCGGTTACAAACTTAGCAATATTCCAATGGGAATAGCAAAAAAAACTAACCAAATCGATTTAGTTCTGCCAAAATGGCTAATTACAACACAAGTATGCAAATAATTTTGTTCAGGAATACGAGGCCAATATTTTGGTTTATAATTTTTATAAAGATAAAATAAAGGAGTAACTTGTAAGGGACAGCGAACGAGTAATACTGTTTAATAAAATTAAATCCCACACAAATATTAGCATTGAAGATAGAGAAAAACATTGTTAAAGTTGAAAATGCTTGCTGTACCAATTATTTAGTTCATCACTGTAAAAAACTTTTGGTAAATTGACACTTGATTTGCTGATTGCCAATTTGGTTTGGCTTATTTGGAAATCCACGAAACATATTATATTAGTAAATTTTAAAAAGAAGGAAAGTCCCACCTAAGGCGTCCATGAAAATATATGGGAAAGAACATGTTTAATACATATTTCGCATTTTGAAAGTATAATACTATTACATAACATTTTTATTAAAACAATTTTTACACCATTGCCGATGGTATTATACTTTTGGATTGCAGTTTAACTTGGTAATCATAATTTTGTGTATACCCTGATCAAGACAGAAATTCTTCCCGGTCGGGTGACTATATGCAATAGCTACCATTAGAAAAAAGGGTGATATTGCTAAAAAAAATTATGTTTTTGTGACAGGTAGAAGAAACTGTTTCCGATCCTATAAAGAATATATTGTCAGGATCACTAGCCGAGTGTATCTATCCATGACATCTTGGAAAGTATAAAAGCTAGAAAGTTGGGTTTAAGCATTCAGATTCTAAAGCGCAGCTCATATTTGTACCGGAGTGCCACACCCACTCTAACGCTACAATTGTTTAAAACGCTAAGGCCTGTATAGTGCCCACATTATTAAAGCTACAGAGCTTAAATTTGAATTCAAAATAAAATAACGACTTTTGAAATTTGTCTTTGTCATCTTCTGTATTTTACGTGTATATCGTGAATTTTAAAATGAACACAATCTATAGACTAATGTAGATGGGTATTGATAATAAAAACAACTTTCATTTAAATGTTTACAAAATATTCAAAAATGTGGGTGCTAGACGGGTTTAAGTGTTATAGTCGGTTGTGGGCGAGGCACCCTGCTGAAACAATCTTGCTCTGCGCAGGAAGCCCAAGAATCTGTATGTCAAGTCACAACCTTCTAGCTTTTATAGTTTCCGAGATCTCAGCGTCCATACGGACATGGCTAGATCGACTCGGCTAGTGATCCCAATGAAGACTATATATACTTCGTGGGGTCGGAAACGCTTCCTTATACCTGTTACATACTTTCCGACGAATCTAGTATACTGTTTTAATCTACGAGTAATGGGAATAAATTATTTATTATTTTATTTCATTGGTACCAAGCTGTTTGCAACTGTCAACAAATAAATGAATATAATGAAACTAAAATTCAGAGAGACTACTTCTATACGCAGAAAGGAAAATCTACTGTGAAGCTCCGGCTAAATTAAAAAGTGTGCGTACCAAAAATCCATTGGTTGAGAAAAAACTACTGGGAATTTCGAAATTAAAAATTCGTCGTTGTTGGGAAGAAATATATTTCTAAGAATACGCGTTCAATGACACCTTTTTTGTTAAGACCAGAGCTCCCAAAATGTGCTCAATCATTTTTCTCTAGCCTGTCAGCCTAAGCTCAAACAGGAATAAATTAAAAAGCTCAGACTCTGGTTCAGCAAAGACACTTTTTTTGTTTCACTCGTGTTAGGTGTTTGAACGTTACTAGATGAGAAACACATGAAAGTGACCCAAAATAACAGTTCGGACCGATGTCAAAACAGCTTACGTTTAGTAAATGAGCAATGTTCTTTGAACAGAGTTATAAAGTGTCTTTTTAGAATTTAAAAGAATTCAAATTTTTTAATACTGCTTCACAATTTTAAACATCTTTACGAAAATTGATTACAGTTTCAAATACAATTCAGCCGGAAGTCTTCGTTGCTATCGCTCTAATTATAAGTTAGCTCATAGTTTTTCACTGTAAGTTAGCATTATATAATTGTTTGAAATACGTTTTGTTTCGTGATACATTTATTAAACAAACACGCCTCTTAACGAGGTAAAAATCGCACCTTTAACAAACAAAAGTTATAATATCAACTTTTGTGACGAAAATGTATGTACAACTTAAATGATTCCATGACCCTAAAATAGCGTTTGGATGCGCACAAACAAAATTTAATGTTGTCAAGTTTCAACCGAAATCCTTCTTCAGAAATAAATTAAATTAAAGCTAAAAATTCAAATTAAAAAAAGTATCATACCGTCCTAACGACATATGTATATCACAAGCATGTAGCTTTTTGTATAGCTGTTTTCCCGTCAAACTAGCGATGTTCTCCAAAGGGCAGTGTTAGATGTTCTTAACTGGTAAATGTGACCATTTTTGTTGATTTATAACTTTAAAACGGATATTCTTACAACAATGTGTTGTTTGTCACAAGTTAAGGAATCTTAAGAGCTACACACTTTTAAATTTAAACCGAAATCGTTAGAGCCGTTTTAGAGAAACTTTTCCATATAATTTTTAAACGATGGTATTAAGTCAAATCATGTTAGAAAAGCATACACAGCATTTCCAAGTTTCGGGTGTGCGAAATGTAGCTATTTATAGCTGCTTTCCAGCCAAACTATCGAGTTTTTCAAAAAGGTCGTAGAACTAAAGTTTCTTATATTAAGTTGATTAACATCATCTTAAACTTTCAGAGCATTAAAACAACGTTTTGGGACTAACTGACAAACAAAATAAAATTTTCATTTTAAGAAGTCCCCCAAAATGTTTTGCGTATAACAAATGAGGTGTCATTCGACGCGTCTTTTAAGTAACGATACAACTGGGCTTGTGCATTTATCCCCAACGGCCCCAACAGATCAAATTTTCACTTTATATTTTCACTGCTCTTACTCCCAAGCTAATTAATTTTTTTAAAGTTTTGGTAAGCAATCCTTTTAGTTTTTGCGAATTTGTTCGTGTATATGTATATAGTAGTCGCCTTCTCGCACACTACACCGGTTGTATCGTCCACAGTGAGGAATATCACTGTTTAGAGGTAAACGGCCATAACTAAGAGGGATGATCCTCTGGTTCTGAAGAATTGGTTAAGTTTTATTCTTTAGGAGAGGAGTGAACTTAACTCCTTTCTCTTTACACCAACAAAACACCGTCTGTCTGTCCGTCCGTATAAACGCTAATACCTCGGAAACTATAAAAGCAAGAAAGTTGGGACTTGGCATGCAGGTTCTTGAGGTTCTGGGACAGCGAAAGTTTGCTTGATTAAGGTTCCACGCCCACTCTAACGCCCATACGTCCACGCTAAAACCTTTTTTGAATATCAACATCTTCGCCAAAAATTATTCAAATCGGACCATCCAGTTATAAGCAAATATTGAAATCGACACTAGGTGGCGCCGTTGCGGGGTGTGCAGTTGTGAACAGTCGCTTTGCTGCATGGTTTTATAGTCGATAGCGTTATCTCTTGTTATTATTAGAAAAGTCAAAACACATGTTGCTAGTTTCTGAAAAGCAAAGTGTCTCAGGAAAACAGGATCCCAAATAGAGCAAACAGAAATGCTTAGTGTCTGAGCGAGACACTTTGAAAGAAAAATCACTCTGACACCTAGTAAAATGGGGATCATTTTTGGGAGCTCTGGTTAATACCCGAGACTCCCCTCAAAATGTATACCAAAAACAAGGTTCAAAACCAACATTTTTTTTGTTTGTCAGTTTGGCAGCAAAGTGCCACGCCAGTAACGCACACGTCTGCCTGGCGCCCATGTTTTTGAAGATTTTTTCAGGTAAATTGAATTGGATTGTACTGATCAAAACTTATTTAAAAGCTGAAAATCGTACCAATCGTATAATTATTTTAAAAATTATGATTAAGTTAAAAAGACTGGCATGTCAGTGTTACCGCTAACGTCCCACTTCTTCTTGAATAAAAACTCGTTAGGAGGTGTCTTCGCTTGATATATACATAGTTGAGAATACGTTACAGAAACAAGACCAAAGCTAAATGAAAACAAAAGTCTCAAAAGTTAAATCAGGAACATGATTTACAGGATCGAAAACGCTTAATTTTACTTCTATAGTTTAGCATGCGTATTTTTCAATGTACCATTTTTCTTAATGAGTATAGGGATACAAATTATTGCAATATTCTGTAGCACCTACATTTATTGGTTGTAATTACAATTTCTCAAGATTCTTCATTCCAGATGAAAAAGACTACCTATTTTGGCGAATGGGAGCGCTGCTCAATATATAAATCTCTAGAGATCTTTCTTTCACTAAACTATTCCAGAATATGGATATTAGCTTACTTTAATCGTGATATTATAAAGTTACGTTTCGTGTTTAACTACCGAAGAATAATCTAAAATTAAGATGTATATTTCCATATGATAACTAGTCTTTTCTAAAAAGCGTCGGTTGTCAATCAATATTGAAGTATGATATTCCTTGGCTTGAAATTTAATTCTTTACTGGTTCGCAGATTGGCTCAGCACATTCGCATTCCTCCGGCAAGAATTCGCCATTACTATATTCACTGCTTTTGTGAGCAACAGCTGATTGGCCCGGAGGTTCGTCAAGATTGGAGCTGTTTTGTGTTGGAAGGGTACTTGATGCTGTAGTACCTACCGCCCCTCCTGCCGGTACAGTGGTGCTGGCTGCCTGCGTGCGACTATATACGGAGCTGCTGGGCGCACCCTGAGTTCCAGCTGCAGCTGATCGCCTATAGACGGTGCTGTTCATGGTTAACTTGCGAACGTTTTTGTCCGGGTGAAAGACGAGGATGTACACCTTGGGTGAATACAGACAAACAAGAGCCACTGATGCACTCAGACTTATTGAAATACATAACGTAGTAGTTTGCACCTGAAAAATAAAATTGTTCAATTTAAAATTTTTAATTGGTTGTTCATGTAAACTTAAACAACTTAAAGCAGTAATAAACGCGGTAGACGATTCCAATTTGTAAAAGTGTATTAGTTAGAATTAAACTCGGAAGAGATGAATACTATAGCGGAAACAATCAGCTTCTGGCTTAAGTACGTTTTTGGGACTGTGAATAGGCTCTGTAAGATTTAATTTCGACTTCAGGTTTATGGGGTTTAAATATAAAAATATCAACTTAAACACTTTTACAACAAACACACAGCAATTCGAAATCTATAAGTTACTAGCAGGACTTGTAAACATAAGTTGACCGTTTCTAGTTTTACAAAAATGAAGCCATACTTAAGGACCCTTTAAGCCAATATTGGAACCACTTAGTTTCCTGTATTTGTATACCCGTTACTCGTAGAGTAAAAGAATATATAAGACTCGTCGGAAAGTATGTAACAGGTAGATGGAAGCGTTTCCGACCCTATAAAGCATATGTATTCTTGACCAGGTTCAGTAGCGGAGTCGATCTAGTCACGTCTGTAGGAACGCAGGGATTAGGCATGTATATTCTATATTCCATTTGTACCGCTCCCATACGCCAAGTGTGGCCCCCCGTTAGGTTTAAATTGGTCAACAGTTTAAAGCTGGTTAGCTGAGTAACGGCAGTCAAGGCACTCGACTGTAGCGTTCTATTTAGTTGTTAAGTTCGAACATACACTTTAAACGAAAAAACGATCAACTATTGTTTAAATGCTCTGGTTGTTAGTACGATATCATTCTCATGACTATTTTAAATGTTGTAGCAAAGTAGAAATAAACCAAAACAGTGCGAAAAAAACAAAAAAAAAAGAAAAAATAACGAGCACATACCTCATAAGAATTTCCTGTTCCAAAGTATATGGGTACAAAAGCTAGCCAGATTATACAAGTGGTATACATGGTAAATCCAATAAACTTTGACTCATTAAAGTTTTCTGGTATTTTCCTGGTTTTAATTGCATAAACAGTGCAAATTGTGATGAGAATCATATTATATAATTGGGAAAAAAGGAAGGACATGTCTTGTATTTTGCACTTAAGGATCACTTCAGTTCGGTCTGGGTAATAGAAACGAGTTCCTGGTGGTTCAACTACCATCCAAATCATGGTGATTAGTACCTGTATTGCTAAGAAGTCACAATGTAATATTATTGTGTAGCTTGGCTTCAGTTGAATTTCATATCTTACCGATCAGAGAGGTTGTTATTACCACCTGTGATTGTGGACTTATATACTTAAGGCGCTGAGCTGATTTAGATGCGGAGTGAAATATTCGTGAAATTCGATTTGTTTTTGTTAGCAGAGCACTATAAATAATGGAGAAACCAACCCCAATGCCAAACCTCTGCAGAACACATGAGGCAATTGTTGGTTTAGCAATCAGCGCAAAGGTATTACAGTAACAGACCAAAATACCAAAGAGAAGAGTATAACTTAACTCCCGCCCCGACGCCCTTACCAATGGAGTATCATGATTTTTTGCAAATAGTACCATTACTATAATTGTCACAGCAATACCGAACATGGCTATGGCCATGGGAATTAGGGCAAATAACGAGTTCCATCGCATATACTGAATGTCTAAAGCATAACAGGAAAGCTTGTCTGCATACGGCCAAAGTCCTGGACCGCAGTCTTTACAGGTAAACTCGTCATATACGTATTCGAATGATTCGCAGCTGTCGCATATCCAGCAACAGGTATCTCCCTGTAAGAATCAAGTTCATGAGAGAACTGAACTGTCATTTTAACTAAAATAAAAAATACCTGTTGTTTTTTTATCATCCCAACCTCACAAGGCAGTGAACAGGCGGAAGTTGGTTGCTCAGCTTCCTTATTCCATACAACTGTTTCAGAATTTAGTTGCAATCCATTAAACCATTTGCCAATGACCTGAAAAGTTTTTTGACAAGGGTAAGATACAATTTATTTTTCAGGTTATAGGATATTAATGTGAATGTTACTAATAAACCAGCATGGTAGCTAAGTTTGGCTAGCAGTAGTTCATATAAACATTAGTTTTTAAATTTTAATTCTTAACTAAAACAAATATGCATTTATTCATGAGAAATGCTACTGATTTTTAGAGGTTTGATATGAAATGACCAATTTTTTAAAGTCAAAGTCTAGTTTGAAAAGAAAATTATGCCGACTTTCTGACTATTATTAAACTTCCGAGCTTTATACAGATGATGTTAATTTAAAACAAGTGAGAACGCTATAGTCGATGTTATCGACTACCAGATACCCGTTACTCAGCTAAGTCCACTGGGAGCACAAGTAGCAAAGCGCCTAACTTTTTAATAAATGGCCCGAATTGAAAATTTTTTGGCATGACATTGATAATTAAAACAAAATATCATTTAAATGTGTAGAAAGTATTAAAAAATTTGGACCGTTATTATTAGCGTTGGACGGACAGACGGGCATGGCTAAATCGACTCGGCTAGTGATCCTAATCAGGAATATATACACTTTATAAAGTAGGAAACGCTTTCTTCTACCTATTAAATTCTTTCCGACGAATCTAGTATACACTTTTACTCTACGAGTATCGGGTATAATGACCGTGTGGGTAGAACCAACCAATATTTTGCTGAAGCGAACCGAATGAATAAATTTTAAATATAATTTTTATTTTGTCGAATATAAAATTGTTTTTGGTCAGAAAAGTTGATATCACACCATTTGTATATAGAAGGTCCGATTGTCACAATTATACCTCGTTAAGAGGTCTTTTGTGTGATATATTAGAGGGGAAAAAAGGACACTTAAAGAGCAAGATTGTAAGTGTACAAAAAGTTAGGTTCGACACTTTTTTAAACAACTTCCTGAGAAACAAAAGGCTTTTTAAAAAATGGTATAATAAACGTTTTCAAATTCAAAGTGCATAAGCAAGCAGCAAATGGACTGTTACCGAGATTGGACACGCGCGCGCCAAAAGCGTCTATTCCTTAATTTGATTAAAACTTTGTAAAACATATACACCATTCCTGATTAGCATCATTAGACGAGCCAACATAAAAATTGTTAAAATCATTTTTTTTGTTTTCGAATAATGTCCTATTGGTTGTGGACCTCTTAAAGATTAAATGAGCTCCCAATCTGAAGTAGTAGTATTCTGTAATAAATAAATTAGTGCACAAACAATGGGAGGTCTTGGAGGTCCTTAAAGGCCCCAACGTTTAATAAAACTACTCATACGACACGTAAAGATGTTTATTACTTTCCTTAGTTTCATAGTAAGAAGCTCATGTTTGGTTCAGCCAAGCGCTAGGCCCACACGCCCAAAACGCTAGTCTGTCTGGCGCCCACAATCTTAAAGATTGTTTTGCTTATCAATACTCAGCTAGATGACCAAACAGACTATTAGTTAAATGGCAATAAATGTAACCGTCGCTAGGCGGAGCTCGTGTGTGATTTCGGAATCAGTCGTGGTTCCCTGCTTATGTTCATCTCCCGCTATTTTCGTTAAACTGCATAACGGGTATCTTATAATCGAGGAACTTGTTGGACAGATAATGTGTTTCGTATAAGCAAAATGTGTATTGATATTATAGTCGTACCTTATACTGATATCCCGAAGAGTTTTCCAAACGTTGATAGTTTAAAATATCATACCTTGCCAGTCCATCGCCCTGACGATCAAATTTGACTTCGCTGCCAGCAAGATCTTTTTCGGTTAAATCCAATCGTGATTGAAGAGTTAATAACAAAATAAGAAGAAGCGAAATAGTCGAATGCCTCGACCATCAGATGCCCGTACTCAAATTCAAAGTTAAATTCAAAGAAAACTGTAGGGCATTTTAGCGCGACACACAACATTTGATAGATTCCCTATCTTTATGTCGCCAGGCTGACGACCATTCGATAGATACCCTATCTTTGTGTCGCCAGGCTGACGACCTGTTCATGTTTTTACGTATGTTATCATCGTCAGGCTATAGTTGATATAGCCTCAGGAATCTGGAAGTCTGAAGTATGCAGTGTGTAAGGTGTCGGGCCTTGTACACTGTCCTGGGGTACACCGGCTAGGATTGCCCTGTTTAACTTAGTCAAATATCTTAAGATAAACAATGCGATTGGTACGGTTCTTAGCATTGAGTTAGGTAGTCTTCCGTAAAATCTTTAAAAATGTGGGCGTCACACAGACATTAGCGTTATGTGACACTCCGCTGAATCAATCCTTAAGAACACCCACAATCTGTGTGCCTAATACCAACATTCTCAACAACGTTCATACGGACAGACGAACATGGCTAGATCGACTCGGCTAGTAATCCTGATCAAGAATATATATACTTTATAGGATCGGAAACGCTTCCATCTACTTGTAACATACTAACATACGAGCGACGGGCATAAGTATTGAAACAAAAAGGAAGTACCCAACCTATGAATGAGACGTTTAACAAGTAATTGTTGTAAAAATCCTTTCCGTCATAATTTGCCATGTCGGGACATGCCTGCGACTTCGAATCAGTTGATAGTTTTCTGTACCACACAGACTCACTATGTTGGTGCTTTCTCTGTTCAGACGTTTGGTCGCTTTGTGTGTTACAACGATCATTATGTAAATTATGCAGTGCGTAGGCAAATGCGTATACAGCGTCCACAACAAATTGAGTCTTGGACTCCTGCTCGTATCTGTAAATAAAAGAATTAAAGAATTAATTATTACTTTGGAGGGCAGTAGACTTAGTGACTAAGCGCACCGGCAGAAAATGCGAAGGCGACTACTATATGTATGTACACGAGAAATTGAAGATGTGTTATGGTTCGATCATAACAAGAAATGTCGGTCGGAAGGGATCTCTTTAATTTGGAGAAGAAAGTATTATTTTTAAAATTGGATCTGAGGCCTGTCGCCATCTGACTATCAGATATAACTCCAACGACAAATTTGAAAATGAATTTCTAGTGTACTATTTTCGGATTCTGACCACATAACCCCCACCTAGCTGGATGCTCACTAGGGCTGGTCTATTTGTATGGGGCCGAAAAAAGTGATTAATCGTATCGGTGGAATGTAATCTTAAAGGATTCTAAGCAACATCGCCGAACAAACTTATGGTCCGAAATGGTGTTTGACCCCCCAAATACTAAAGAACTTTTTATTGAAAAAAATATAATATTTGTATTAAAACTAGCTTTTTCGCCCCGACATTCTCCGCGTTTAAGAAACTGTTCTTAAAAGTGGGAGAAAACCATTTTGTCTCCACAAAATTATTATAAGCAATCGAAATATTAAGAAAAAGGTTGTTTTACGTTTTTTTCACAAGTTATGGAGGTTTTAAATATTAGTTAGGTTTATGATTTCTTCTTTTCATAAACTTAATTTCTGTAAAAAAAACTCGCGGTAATATAAAGACTTTAGGTGCAATGGGGCATGTTAAATCGTTTATTTTGCTCCTTAAATATTTGTTTGAAGCAGTTTGGAGACTTTGGGGGACATTTCGAATCTTAGTGGTTTGTAAAATCGGCTGATCTAGCTCTTAAGGTTTGGGCTGTGCACGTGTCCCTTTAATTATCGCCTTTTTAAAATATATATTTTTATAGGTTGTAAACATAAACAAGAGAGAACGCTAAAGTCGAGTGTCTCGACATAGTACCCGTCTCACATCAATTGGGCGGGGTAAAAGACAACTGGGCTAAGATGTTTGTTACATTCAAATTTACAGAGGGTTCAAAAGGTATGTCGAAAAGGGTATCAGTTATCATTTAATGGTTGTAAAATGTTCTATATTTTTTTAAAACTGATGTATAATGTCCTTCATTTAATAAAATTTCTTGGTGAAATATGGCACTTGCTAAAATATATCTTTTATTTTCAAATATAAGCTCACTTTGTGAGGCGTTTGTTAAATTAAAATTGGTTATTATACCCGTTACTTGTAGAGTAAAAGGGTATACTAGATTCGTCGGAAGGTATGTAACAGGCCGAAGGAAGCGTTTCCGACCCCATAAAGTATATAAATTCTTGATCAGGATCACAAGCCGAGTCGACCTAGCCATGTCCGTCTGTCCGTATGAACGCTGAGATCTCGAAAACTATAAGAGCTACAATACTGGAATTCCTGAGATTCCTGAGCTTCTTACGCAGCGCAAGTTTGTTTCAGCAATGTGCCACGCCCACTCGAACGCCCACAAACCGCCCAAAACTGTGGCTCATACAGTTTTGATGCTAGATAGAAAATTTTAACTGAAATGTAATGCTCTCATCAATACCTATCGATTGACTCAAAAAAAGTTTGCCACGCCTACTTTAACGCCCACAAACCGTCCAAACCTGTGACGCACACAATTTTCATGCTAGATACAAAGTTGTAAATGAAATGTATTGGTCTCGTCAAAACCTATCGATTGATCCAAAAAAAAAATTTGCACGCCCACTCTAACGCCCATAACGCGTACATCTGTCTACCGCCGGTAGGTGGCGCTTTTTCATCTCGCTTTGCTGCTTGCATATCTCCATTTCCCTTTGGTCCCATTAGCTGAGTAACGGGTATCTGATAGTCGAGGGGCTCGCTACATCGACTAAACTAAGTGAGAAAACAAGTACGCGCCCTAAATTTTCTATTAAGGGCTGACATTGTAAATAGATTCAGCAATGTGCACACTCGCTATCTTCAATATTTTTTCAATTTTGAGCAACTACGTTTTTTGATATTTGTTTATTTGGCCTATAATCGCAGTTAGAGCATTTTAAAGACATTACAAGCTTATGTACAAATAATTGTTTTATTCCTGCTAGGGAATGACACTCTAATAGTTGTCGCATAAAATCTCCGCTGTCCTACTGTTCTATGTTGTCAAAAATTCTTGATCGTAAATCTGAAATATTAATGTTTGTCCCCATCGTTAAAGGGTTTGTATAATTCAAGAATGATGCTTTCAAAATTTTACTATTTTGATCTTTAAATACTGATTCCTTTATCAATCTAATTTTTAAAGGCATTGAAAAGCAGAGTTTGCATAACAAGCATTATTTGGTTTTTCCATACCACGTATATTATGTAAAATTGCTTTATTATCACTTTTTTTTTACTTCTTATATTCTTTTTTAATACAGAAGGCTCAATAACAGCTGCTGTTTGTCGACTGAAATATATGTTTTGATCTGAAAAATTTGTGTTTTTTTTAGTATTACAAACCAAATGTGTTAGATCTTCTCTATATTTACTTCTTAATCGATTGTATTCTATAATAGCACCACCATTTGTCTTAATGCTTTTCGGATTAAGGTTGAGAATATGTATTTATTTATTTATTTATTTACTTACCTTTTTATGAATTTATTTATTTATGTATTTATCTTTTTATATATGTATTTATTTATTTATGAATTTATCAATGAATTTATGTATTTATCTGTGTATTTATTTATTTGCTCAAGTTTTTATTTATTTATGTATTTATCTATGTATTTATTTATTTATTTATGAATGTATGTATTTATTTATGTATTTATTTTTTATTTATTTGCTTATTGATGTTTGAAAGACGTAAATAGTATTTCGAAATACCAGTCAAATATAGTTTGGATACGCATAAAAAAGTTAAATGCTCAGGCAGTGTTCTGAACTGGTAAATGTGGCCATTTTTTTTAGTAATAACTTTGAAACGGGACTTTTTACAGCAATGTGTCGTACGTCAAAAAGTTGAGGAATCTCAAGAACTATACAGCTTAAAATTTAATCTGAAATCGTTAGAGCAGCTTTTTAGCAATCAGAAACAAAGCTGAAAAAAATAGGAACAAAAAAACTTTTCCCCATATTTTTTAAACGGTTGTATTTATACAAATCATGTTTAAAAAACGTAAATAATTTTTTAAAATACTTTTCTAACGACATATAGCAAATAGCTAATTAAAGCTGTTTTCCCGCCAAACTAGCAAGTTTTTCGAAAAGTGGTAGAACTAAAGTTTCTTATATTAAGCTGTCTAACATCATCTAAAATTTCCATACACTTTTACTCTACGAGTAGCATACATATATAAAAACAAGGAAGAACGATATAGTCGAGTACCTTGACTATCAGAAACCCGATACTCAGCTAAAGGGACCAAAGAGAAATGGAGATATGCAAGCAGCAAAGCGAGATTGAAATGCGCCACCTACCCGCGATCTCAATATACGGTTAAAGTGGGTGTGGCAAACATTTTTTTGGGTCAATCGATGGGAATTGATTGGAATTGGACAACTCAATGACAAGTTATAAACAAAAATAAAATTATATTTTGCAATTCAATCGAGATTGCACACCACATGCAGAAAACAAGCTGTATTCACTAATACGCCGCCAAGCCGCTAGGTGCGCTATAGGCTAGTTGGCTAGGTGTGTTAGTGAAAAAAGCAAAATTGCTTTAAGCACATCTCCTTCCCTCTCGCAATCCCTTAAGCTGAATAACGGGTCGAATCGACTATAGCGTTTTCTCTTGTTATACCCGTTACTCGTAGAGTAAAAGGGTATACTAGATTCGTCGGAAAGTATGTAACAGGCAGAAGGAAGCGTTTCCGACCCCACAAAGTATATATATTCTTGATCAGGATCACTAGCCGAGTCGATCTAGCCATGTCCGTCTGTCCGTCTGTCCGTCTGTCTGTCCGTCCGGATGAACGCTGAGATCTCGGAAACTATGGGAGCTAGGCTATTGAGATTCGGCGTGCAGATTCCTAAGCTTCTTACGCAGCGCAAGTTTGTTTCGGCACAGTGCCACGCCCACTCTAACGCCCACAAACCGCCCAAAACTGTGGCTCCTACAGTTTTGATGCTAGAATAAAAATTTTAACTGAAATGTATTGTTCTCATCAATACCTATCGATTGACCCAAAAAAAGTTTGCCACGCCCACTTTAACGCCCACAAACCGCGAAAACCTGTGACGCCCACAATTTTCATGTTAGATAAAAAATGTTAACTGAAATGTATTGGTCTCGTCGATACCTATCGATTGATCCAAAAAAAAATTTTCCACGCCCACTCTAACGCCCATAACGCTTAAATCTGTATACCGCCGGTAGGTGGCGCATTTTAATCTCGCTTTGCTGCTTGCATATCTCCATATAGCTGAGTAACGGGTATCTGATAGTCGAGGTACTCGACTATAGCGTTCTTCCTTGTTTTTTATGTAAAAATCGGGCGCCTTGGTCATATAGCTGTAATAGAAACTATCGCTATATTTATGTACAATTCTTCCGAATATATGATATTAAACTACACAATACCCAAAAATTTATGTTGAAAGATGATAATGAAAAACTTTGTTTTTAACATAAATAGGCCTAATTTGTGGAGACGTTTCTCTGGACTAGATCACAACATTTTTCCTATCCTTTTTTTTCCTGCCCTAAACAAAATGCTAGGGTTAGGAAATTCAAAACTTTCTTTAATAGTTCATATCGTAGCCTCTGGCGTGTTTTCAGCTATTTTAACCAAAATATGTTTCGTCATAGAAATCTCTGCGTATTGTAATTTTTGGATTTGGATTAAGTTGATATTAAAAAAAAAAATTATCCTTGATGAACCCCGATTTCTGTAGAATTTGCATGAAGAACTTGGCTGTGATGTATAAATAGCTGTATTTGTTTTTGAGTTTTTAAACCAGTCCTTAACGGGTAAGTGGTGGGTTAATCTTATTCTAGACAATTTTATCCTTCATTTGGTAAATATTCATTTACCACTGAATAGCATCACTTAAGCTGTGACCCCTTACAAATCAAAAAATCATGTTTACTATTTGCATAGTTAAAAAAAATTATTTTTCAGTCCTCTTTTTGAATAAATTTGTGTCTAAGCTTGATTTTATGTGTTATGCTGACGTTTAACATCGTCTTTGAAAACACTTCCTAACATTTTAAGGTTTTATAAGGTGTTTGGCCATATTTTGACTATTTAATATTTATAACCTTTACACGTAAAGAATTTGTCAGAAAGGAAGCGTTACCGACCCTATAAGGTACTTGACCCTGTATATACTTGAGTATGGTCTCCCGTCTGGAGTCCCCAAAACGGAATTCATGATGATCGTATCGAATCTGTACAGAATAATTTTTTTCTACTTGCTTTAAGGCGCCTAATCTGGAATTCAAACCTAATTTTACCTTCTTAGTCTAGTAGATTACTTCCAATTAAGTTACCCTCTCTAGCCAACCCCAGAACGATGGTTGGAACAGTCTTTATTTATGAACTTATTCGAGGTGAAATTTATAGACCCGACTTGGGTAGCCAGCTAAACTTTTCGTTTCCATGGAGACTAACAAGAAATTACGTTCCCCTAATTTTGTATCGTTGTAGATATAACTAACTGTGACTTGCATGAACGTTTCAGAGTATTATGTTCTGACTATAATAGACTTTATCTTATTATCTCAAAATACGACTCTCAGCCGTTCTTGAAACAATTAATATTACATTTTCCAGCACGCGAATTCGTGCCGTACGACAGAAGGCAGCGCAGTGTATATTGATTGAAATCACTAGCCGAGTCGATATAGCCATGTCCGCCTGTCTGTCCGTCAGTATAAACGACGAGGTCTCGGACAGTAGAACATAAAAATGTATCAAAGAATATTTATTTTGACGTTGGTTATAAGGGAGTAACGGATATATCATAGTCAAGATAGTCGACTATTGCTTTCATTCCTGTTTATATTTAATTTATTCACGTTTTAACTCGTATAATCTGCAAAAATTCCTAAAACCTAGACTTCGCTTCCGTTTTCGTATTTATACATATTCCGTCCTTATACCCGTTACGCGTACACTAAAAGGTATACTAGACTCGTCGGAAAGTATTGAACAAGTAGTAGGAAGCGTTTCCGACCACATACAGCTGCGGCAAATAAAAAACAAGGAAGAACGCTATAGTCGAGTACCTTGACTATCAGATATCCGTTACTCAGCTAAGTCAGGGACCAAAGGGAAATGGAGATATGCAAGCAGCAAAGCGAGATGAAAAAGCGCCACCTACCGGCGGTAGACAGATTTACGCGTTATGCGCGTTAGAGTGGGCGTGTCAAATTTTTGGATCAATCGATAGGTATTGACGAGACCAATACATTTCATTTACAACTTTGTATCTAGCATAAAAATTGTGGGCGTCACAGGTTTTCGCGGTTTGTGGGCGGTAAAGTGGGCGTGGCAAACTTTTTTTTGGACCAATCGATAGGTATTGATGAGAACAATACATTTCAGTTAAAATTTTCTATCTAGCATCAAAACTGTATGAGCCACAGTTTTGGGCGGTTTGTGGGCGTTAGAGTGGGCGTGGCACTCTACTGAAACAAACTTGCGCTGCGCAGGAATCTGCGTGCCTAATCCCAGTATTGTAACTCTCATAGTTTCCGAGATCTCAGCGTTCATATGGACAGACGGACAGACGGACAGACGGACATGGCTAGATCGACTCGGCTAGTGATCCTGATCAAGAATATATATACTTTATGGGGTCGGAAACGCTTCCTTCTGCCTGTTACATACTTTCCGACGAATCTAGTATACCCTTTTACTTTACGAGTAACGGGTATAAAAATATGGACTTTAAGTCCAAAAAAAAAATTTACTTACACTAAGGCGATATGGACTAAAATTGGACCTAAGGAACCATAGACTTACTTTAAGGCCATCATGATCAAGGCCATGGATAGCCTAAAATATATACGCACATACAATAAGTCAATGCTCAGCCAGGGTTAGTTGTTCTGAACTCGTAAGAGTTGCCATTTTTGTTGTTAAATAACTAATTAGCATAAAGATTAAACAGAAACCGTTTAAGACAATTTAGCAATACAAAAGCTAAAAAACGATGAAAACAATAGACAACGCTATTAGATACCATTACTCAGCTAACAAAAGAGCGATACGTATCGGTTATTTCTTTTGGCTGCTTACGAGATTTCAATAACACGCCACATAACGTAAAACCTACGTGGCGGTAGTGAAATTTCGAAAGCAACCGATTTTCTGTACAAACATTTTTCCATCTCTCTCGCACTTTATTGAGTTTGCTAATTATTTATAGTTCTTTGGTTTTAACTTTTTAATGAATGGTCCGATTTGAGAAATTTGTAGCATGTAGATGGGAATTGAAAATAAAAACAAAATCTCAATTAATTTTGTGGGCGTTAGAGAGGGCATGGCACCCTGCTAATAAACTTGGTATGCGCAGGAAGCCCAACATTCATCCGACCCTATAAAGTATATATACATTGAATAAGCTTTGAAAATATTAAATGAAAATAATAAGAAAATCTAGAATCCACGAAAAAATGATCAAATTTAAATTTCAAAAACGGAAGAAGGGCGAGCTACTTTGCAAAGCAATTAGATTATATACTTTTGCAGTGACAAAAATTCACGTTCTTGATACTTCTATTGAAAATTTATATAACCCAGTTATTCGAAAACTTACCCAACTTTCTCAGATAACCGAAAACTGTCTTCGCATGTTGTTTTAGACTTGGTGGCGATCTTTATCTCAGTAGAATTGATAGTGGTTGGTGCATTAGGTTGATCCGAAACTTGTTCGAGAACGCAATTAAACGTGTCCTCCCAGTACTCAGCAAACCAAGGGTTCCTTTGATTTGTTTCTGGCGTCAGCTGCATCATATAGCGATCAAAATCTTCGATTATTTCGGACTGCAGTTCTACAGTTATAGCGCCCTCGGCAATGTCCTCCAAACCCTCAAGTAATTTTTGTTGCTTGCCCCAACCGTCACTTGCTATCCAGTGAAACGGCTGTGATAAATTAGCTCGCTTAGCTGCCTGAAGAATGCGGCGGGCATCCTCTGCTCTTGTAAAGAGTACAACTCCACGAGCGTTGGGTTTTTTTTGAAGTTTGCCAATTATTGAGTCAAAAACTTTGTCGTCTGCGGCGCTTGGCACTTTCTCGGCTACCGCTATGCATACGTGTCGTTCGGTGGCTTCCTTGTGAAAAGCTTCAATACCATATTCACCTAGAAATTGATTAAAACATGTTAAGGATAATTTCTTGTGACTTAATTGTTTACTAAAAAAAATATACGATTTAGTTGTTAAAAGTCCAAAATCCCAATTCATCACAAATAGGTAATGGACAAGAAAATAACAGTTTACCTATAACATTTTGAGTTGTCCGAAAAAATGTTACTTTATCAATTAAACTTGTGGTTTTCTTTTTATTAATTTCTTACCTATATTTATATTGTATTCGTTGGAAACTAATGATGTTATCAGAAACAAGAAAGGAAGCTAGCTTCGGCAAGCCAAAGTTTATTTACCCTTGCAGGTTGTTCCTGTGGAAGCAATGTATATACAGAGACTTTTAAAAATTAAAATTAATCACAGAAACATCAGTGTAATGTTGCTCCTTCCGACTTATATACTACTTGAAGTGTAAAACCGTTTGGGACGGTTTCATCCCAATAGCTTGAAAACTGAGAGACTAGTTTGCATAGAAACGGACAGGCGAACAGACGGGCACGGCTAGATTGTCTCACCACTGATGCTGATCAAGAATATACATTTTATAGGATCGACGTTTCTCAACTACAAAAAATTTGAGGTAACACGTAACTATTTTTAATAGCTGTTAACCTTTTTTACAAGTACGTAACTATCCGTGTTTGTCAATTATACCCATAAAATTGTGTTGTGTACATAAAAAAACGTTTTGGGGTTATTCCACAACATTGTTTGGCTCACCTAACGCATTCCCATTAGAGGCTTAGGAAGATACGAACATCCAGGAAACTTACATAAGCCAAAGTTAATATAGATTACCAGATAAGTATCGACCATATAACCATAGATAATATAGACTATTTTATAGTCTTTTTTTATCCACTAAAATTCTGCATTTTACCTGAAGTAAGTTCAAATTATGAATGTATTTAACTTTTGTTTTGTGTAAATACTTTTGAACACCCCCGTATGAGGAGGTGTTTTGTTAGATATCAAAAGTTGTTAAAAAAAAACAATTAATTTCTTAATCATAATATTAGTAATTAAGTTTTATTAAACGATTTATTATATTTAAAAATACCTTTTACCGAACGTGTTCATAGTGTTTCAGAGGTTACGTCCTTTCAAAATGTAGGTATTTATAGCTGATTTCGCGCTAAGCTAGTGGAGTTTTGCAAAATTGGTAGAAATAAAGTTTCTAGAACCGAGTATTTGTGAGTACTTCACCGTAAGCACAGACAAAAGACAAATTAGTTTCCAATTGTGTTCGATTTACATTTGTTCTAAGTAAAAATAACATTTTATAGCAGTTTTAGGCCAATATTTGTAAAATTAACTGTCAACAAAAATTTTCGAAATTTTTTTTAAGAAAAGGTATTTAGATTTGTGAAAAAATATTAATTGTAAAAAGTCTGGGCAAATGTGACTTGCCACAAAGTTTCAACCATGTCTTTGGGTAGTTCAAAGTCACCATTTAAGCTTAAAACAGTTTTAAAGCTTTAAAGGTACAGTAACACCTATTTTGGGCTTAAGATCCTTTAAAATGTCTTTAATAATAGTGGTGCTGATAAAAATAGTCAGGGTATTACCTAATTTGTTGAATTGCTGAATTGTTGAATTTGGTCAGCTGTTAATATGCTGTTCAATACAAAGTCAACTTTCCGAAATGTAAACAATTAAACAGCCTCAGCGTTGTTGAATATTTTGTTGAATTGCTGAAAGACAGAGTTGTCGCTGTTCTGTCACTTATAAACATGGAGGAAGAGGTAAGTGACAAACAAAATTATAGTGCCACCATCTCCGACTCCAAAAAAGGACGCAGTTTTCACAATGGAACTTCCTTCTCCTTAGGAGCCAAGGCGATACAAAACTATCATTAACCGTACCTTCACAGGGAGTTGCAGATCGGATCGTATGGAAGTAAAGACTTCATCATATTGTATTAAGTTAACAATAAAATTAAAAGTTTGCTCGTTCATCCGCATAAACTGTTTAAAACGACCTTCGTCAACTTTTGTTTTTGGCTACAGAATGTGGCACATGTGGAACCCCATATCGAAACGCTTTAGCAGAGCATAAATAGAGCACTAGTGTTTCTATCCTATCGCAAAGTGATTCCTCTAAAGCAAGACATCTAATTAATGTAATAAAAAAAATCAAATAACCATCTTACGTACCGTTGCAATCGTAGAAAATATGCAAATAAAGGATATCTGATAGGTGCTGCCTGTTAGCAGCTCTAATAGTTTCGTTTTTGGCTTATTCTCGACATTTTCCTTAATCTTAAACATAATCTTTGGTAAACACAGCCTGGCATTTTGACAATCTGACAAATAGCTGATAGAACAGCTGACATCTTAAAATTAAAAATTCAACAGGGCACTTTTAGGGTCGTCCCCTTAATTGCTGAAATTTTCTGTTGAATTTTCAACAATTCAGCAATTCAACAGTTTAGGGAATACCTTGTGTATATTTAGGAGAAATCTCGGTACGCCGTAAAAAATGGAAAAAAATCGTTACCTGAGACTTTAAATGTTAAAAAATATTTAAAGAAGTAATTATGAATGGTTTTCTTCTTTGTTCGACTGTAGATAAAGCGACCAAAAACTGAAAGGCATAGCAACGTTTTAATATTTATATAAAAGCAGTCTGTCAGTATAAATTTAAATGCTTTTTGACAAACCAATTTTAATTTTATACCTGTTACTCGTAGAGTAAAAGGGTATACTAGATTCGTCGGAAAGTATTTAACAGGCAGAAGGAAGCGTTTCCGACCCCATAAAGTATATATATTCTTGGTCAGGATCACTAGCCGAGTCGATCTAGCCATGTCCGTCTGTCCGGATGAACGCTGAGATCTCGGAAACTAAAAGAGCTAGTCTATTAAGATTTGGCGTGCAGATTCCTGATCATCTTACCCAGCGCAAATTGGTTTAAGCAGAGTGCCACGCCCACTCTAACGTCCACAAACCGCCCAAGACTGTGGCTCCTAAAGTTTTGATGCTAGAATAAAAATTTTAACTGAAATGTTTTGTTCTCATCAATACCTATCGATTGACCCAAAAAAAAGTTTGCCACGCCCACTTTAACGCCCACAAACCGCCCAAACCTGTGACGCCCACAATTTTCATGCTAGATAAAAAACTTTAACTGAAATGTATTGGTCTCGTCAACACCTATCGATTAATCAAAAAAAAAGTTGGCCACGCCCACTCTAACTCCCATAACGCTTTAATCTGTCTACCGCCGGTAGGTGGCGCATTTTAATCTCGCGTTGCTGCTTGCATATCTCCATTTCCCTTTGGGCCCTTTAGCTGAGTAACGGGTATCTGATAGCCGAGGTACTCGACTATAGCGTTCTTCCTTTTGTTTTTTTAATTTTATTTTTATCACTATCTTGGTAAGTTGTTGGCCGATCTTTATGAAACATAGCTAATTTTGTTGGTCGTTGTGTAAGCAAATCGTTTGACTCGAATAAAGTAAAATCTAATCTGAAGTAATCGCATTATTACACATCCAGTTAAAAGCGGCCTTACATCCCACTTAGCGTGATCTATTAAGTAAGTTTCTCTTGTTCGATCATCTATGGAATATAGCTTGGTCACATCAAATTAATTGTTACACTGTATTAGCAAAACATTTTCTTTAATTTGCGAGAATTGTCCCCACCCTGAACCATCGCAGAACGTGTCAAAGATTAAGGTTTTTGCTTAAATTTATTCAAGGTGATGTCAACTCCCTTTTGCTTCTCAGTTCTTCTCAACTGGAATGTACCTTGCGAGGTAATTCGTCACGTTATCCCTGCCAATGTGCAGGTTCAATTATGACATTTTTGAACCATTTTGGGTATTTTGTGAGAATTATAATGAATGGGTCCTGAAAATATTTAAATGGCGTTAAATAGGTCGATTTAGGTACGATAAAATACATTTCTGTAAAAACTTTCAATCTAGCATCGCCACAGTTTTCTCCAACTTATGGGCGTTAGAGTGGGCGTGGGAAACCGAGAAATTACAGTTACAATTTTGATTTTAGCATTAAAACTGTTGATCCCACAGTTGGGCGTTAGAGTGGACACAGTAGCACCCTGATGAAATCCTCTTGCGCTGCGCAAGAATCTCTACAATCAATTTGACTATACCCAACTTTCTAGCTTTCATAGTTTCCGAGATCACAGCGTTTATACGGACAGACGGATATGGCTGGATCGACTCGGCTAGTGATCCTGATCGAGAGTGTAGAAAAGCGACGGTTTCCAAGATTGTAGAACACGCCACTGCGCCACCTGGCGTATATTCCTTTTTCACTTATAGCTATTAAATGTATATGTATAATGAAAATAAAGCCCAATTTAGAGTGTTAGAGTGGTCGTGGCACCCCACTGGAATAAAATTACACTGCGCAAGAAAATCTAGAATCTTCATGCCTAATCCCAAGCGTTCATATACTATATGCTATGTAAGCATACATTTCTCGTGGCTTAAATGTATATAACATCCTTAGTAATAAGCGTTTTCTTGACTTCTTTCTTAAGACACAACTCTTACAAACATGTCGCTCCCAAAGTTTTCTGGACAGAGTCTTTACTAAATAAAGGATACAATTATATCTTTAGTTTTTTCGAAAAAAAATCGAAGAGGCTAAAATTTTCGTAAAATGTAAAATCTGAATTATTCTTAATGAAATATAAATATTTTTCTTTCTTCTTAGAACATGAAATATAATAAAAGTATTAGTTTCTTTAAGATTTTCGACCGAAAAACTTAAACAACGCATTACACTTTTTGTATTTGTTTTGACGTTCACTATGACGTGCAAACAACTGTACAGTAAGTGGCCTGTTTTCCAGAGAATGCCCTGTATACAGGTGTAAATAGTTAATTTTAAATCAAATAAAGAACCCGATTTTTCTTTAATGTTTATAAGTTTTTTAACTTTATTAAGAAATTCTTATCTATACCCTTTAAGACTTACCATAAGATCCCTCCGAATGTATCGTCGATACATATGACCAGTTAAAATTTTTCAGTATATCTACAAGAGCTACGGATTGAAAAGTGTCTGGCGGTACTGTTCTAGCAAACAGATCAAAGCGTGATTTGTCCGATAGGGTTTTAGCAGTTGACGCCGGTGATATTTGTGGAATATGAAACAGGCGCAGCAAATTGGCTACTTGCAGAGACACTGAACTGTAGGATCCACCAATAACTCCGAAAACGGGTCCCGACGAAGCGTTTTTTCTTATTTGTGGGCTTGACGCATCTGAACACTCGAACACAGAAGTGTCCAAGTTGTTGAGGGATGCTCTTACAAACTGAAGAGACTGGTTAAGGGCATATGTGTCTCTTGAACAGGTGTCAAGTATATGGACCCCTATCGTTATTCCAGGAAGAATAGTAGAGTCGTTATTTACGCGATCTACAGCATAGAGCATTGCCTCCAGGCGTTGTACTCCTCTGTTATATACTTTTGGTCCACATGGAGCACCATCACCTTTTTCGTGGACGGGGAATAACCCACCAAGTATTATGTCGCCAGGCAAGGACACGGACACAGTATCCTGAGTATGTGCGTTATTGGGACTTTTTAAGTTGGCTACTGGACTCCGGATCAGCACCATCATGACGGCCAGAATTATTGTTGTATCTCTTTTCTGTTTCATCTTCACACAGACACGTAAATTTTTTGATTTTAAATTTTTAAAACCACAAAGTTATTAGCATTGCATTGCTTATACTTGCTGGTAATATAAGAAAGTTATGCAACTAAATTCTGAAAGTAGAATAAATAATAAAATCAATTTAAAATTTGTATAGCAAAATTTAAAATTATTATTACACTAAACCTAGAACCCTAACTTTCAACATTAAAACTTCAACATCCAATATACAATTTATTTTTATACCCTTGCAGAGGGTATATTGATTTCAGTCAGAAGTTTGCAAAGCAGTGAAGGAGACCTTTCCGACCCCATAAAGTATATGTACTTGATCAGCATTACCAGACGAGTCGATGTAGCCATGTCCGTCCGTTTCTACGCAAACTAGTCTCTCATTTTTAAAGCTATCGGGCTGAAACTTTCCCAAAAGTCTTATTTCCTTTGCAGGTAATATATAAGTCGGAACCGGCCGGATCGGACTACTATATCTTATAGCTCCCATAGGAATAATCGGAAAAAATTAAAAAATGATATCTTTGGTGTTTTTTAAGACATAACCTTCTAAGCTTGGAAATAACATTTTTTAATTAGTTTTGAATTTCGAATTAAATTTTATTAAAATCGGAAGACTATATCATATAGCTGCCATAAGAACGATCGGAAAATTGGTGGGAAAATAATATGAAACAAATTATAGCTTTGGTGTTTTTTAACACAATTTACATATGAAACAAATTATAGCTTCTTATCTTATAATATTGGGAATATCATTTTTTGTATTTTTGAATTTCATAATTCTAACTGCAAGGGTATACAAAATTTCGGCTTGCCGAAGTTAACTTCCTTTCTTGTTATGTTTACATCCCTGCACATAAAATCATGTCCGTCTCTTTTAATACCATTTGCGAGCTCTGTTCAATATATAGCGAATTAAAGCTTTTACCATCGTCGTAAAATATGTCCACGCAGATCGATTTTGAAAACAGATCTTTATAGCCTACAGGAATAATCGGGAAAGACTTTAAATCAAACAAAAATCCCTTCTGAAGCGTTAGAGGAGTTGTGACGTAATATAACCATATTTAAAACAAGAAAGGAAGCTAACTTCGGCAAGCCGTAGTTTCTGTACCCTGTGGGAGTATTGTATGTACAGAGTCTTTCGATTTTTAGGAATACAGAAATTGTAAGTTGTTCCGAAAACGAAATATAACGGTCTATGTATTATTTTGGCAATAATTATTAGATTTTTTATGGCGTCTATATGATTAAGTCGTCCTATTTTTATTCTCAAGAGTAGAAGTTAATGTGTCAAAAACACCAAAACTGTAATTTTTTCTCTGATTTTTTTAAATTATTTTTTGATCATTCCTATGGGAGCTATAGGATATTGTTGTCCGATACGGCTTGTTCCGACTCATATACTACCTGCACCAGAATTAATACTTTTGGGAAGGTTTCATCCCGATAGCTTTAAATTACTTTAGACTACATTAGCTTACTCCCTAACTCCAATTTTTCAAATTTTTTTTTTACTTTCAACTCAATTTGTTTTTTTATTTAACCAACTTGTGAAAAGTCTTGATATCAAAATTTATTGGTGTTTCATTTGATACAATAGAACAATCATAGAATATTATGTTGCGGCTGTACTATACACAAAAACACGAATAGTGAAAATATCTGATATAACATTTTGTGAAGCCCACATTGTTCTACCCTTTGCTCGAAGAGTAAAAGTATTTATAGGGTTCATCAGTAAATATGTATCAGGTAGAAGGAAGACGTACCGACCCTATAAGTTACTTATATTCTTGATCAGAATCAATACGCAAACTAGTCTCTCAGGCGTAAGGCTATCGGAATGAAACTTTTCTTCCAAGTAGTTTTGAAGTTAAATCAAGCCGGATTGGGCTACTATGTCGTTGTTGTTTTTTTAAATTGTATGTATTATTCTGGAGCACAGATATTTTTTATGATTTTATAATATCGATTAATGTAGTTTTTTAATCGAAGAAATGAACAAAAATTAAAAATACCAATCGACTCGAATCGCGTTCCCCGGAGTGGTCTCTTGAGTTTTGGTAATAGCCAGAAGTCACACGCCGAATCAGGCAAATACTGCGGTTGCGAAACGATATGTGAGTGTAATGTGAGCCGGTGCCTTAATGTGATGCAATAACCAAGAGTTGTTGTTTCCCATAGTTCTGTGCTTTTTAGACGAATTGTTCCACGCAAACGACGCATAACGCTCAAATAATATTATTAACAGGATGTCCGGGTGAAAGTAATACTCTGGGGCTTAGCCATTATATTAAGATTTTGGGTATATCGATATATTTGTGTAATCAAACAAAAACACCATTAAACGAGGTAGTGAACTAATGACGATCGCACCTTCAACTTAAAAAAGTTCTGATATCAACTTATATGACAAAAGTGTATGCCTGTACAAAAGTGTACGCCATCGTCACTATGTGTACTGCCGTCCGGTGATATACGTACGATTTTAATTGCATGATTTGATCTGCAAGGGTATATAATCTTCGGCTTGCCGAAGTTAGCTATACATTGTCTTCATTTTGCTTTCTGTAAATTATACACTGGTAGTATTTTTAAGCTTTGTCGTATCTTTGGTTCGTGTCTGCGTTAAAAGTCGTACTTACTAATCGAAGCTTGTGTGCACTAGAAGAAACGAATCAGAAAAAGCTTCCCTTGTAAGGACTAAGCCAAGAAGTACCAACAAGAATGGTACTGATGATGGCGTTACTTCGAAGCTGTGAAAGCAATGTGTGTTAGCGAAAGCCCGAAAGAAAAAATACATTCATACACATCTGCAGATAAATTCTGTGTGCTCGAAATTATTGTAAACTGTTGTATCCTCTTTGATTCAATTTTATATATAGGCATTCTATATGTACATATGTACTTTAGTACAAGTAAGCTAAATAATTTGTTTATAATTGTGCTATTGACAATTATAAGGAAATTACGATACCTATAGTGAAAATTAAACAACCCAATCACTACTAAACTTGCAGTTGTATTGTCGTAATGTATCACTCCTATATAGTAGTTAAATTGTTCCCGTAGACAAACTATATTTTCAGACATTGTTAAATTACCTTTGCCTCTGCTTTCGATAGCAACTAAAAAGTACTTATACAACTTTAACCGCAAACTTTGTATATGTTTTGATTATATATTTTGTAACACGCGTACGTCTTGTCCTAGCATTACCAGTAGGTTGACTGATTTATCCATGATAAGCCAACACGAAATCAGTTCTTGTAGGGGCAGCAGCAGCACAACAACAACCAAAAAATCAGCCCCAGCAGCGGTGGCCAAGGAAAAGAACAACAAAGGCAGCAGCCATCTACAACAGTCCTTCTAACTGTCCATCTCTCACGAAACTCGAGAGAAAAAGCACCACAAGGCCAGCATACCAAAGAGAACCGACCAAACACCAATTTGGGTCTCTTCAACTAATTTCAATAACGGTGGCCGGGTTTTTCTGAAGAGAGCGGTTAGCTCATATGGTTTCTCTTTCGCTCACTCACAGTCACGTTACGATTTTTCACCACACTCAGGCTGTCTTCGATTTGCAGCGCAGGCACACTAATGTGCGTTCCCTATCGATTTTGAAATAAATGAGTTTTTCCATTAGCCCAAAAGAGGGCTGGCTTACTCGTAGAGTAAAAGGGTATACTAGATTCGTCGGAAAGTATGTAATAGGCAGAAGGAAGCGTTTCCGACCCCATAAAGGATATAAATTCTTGATCAGGATCACTAGCCGAGTCGATCTAGCCATGTCCGCCTGTCCGTATGAACGCTGAGATCTCGGAAACTATACAATCTACAATACTGGGATTAGGCATGCAGATTCCTGAGATTCCTGCGCAGCGAAAGTTTGTTTCAGCAGAGTGCCACGCCCACTCTAACGCCCACAAACCGCCAAAAACGGTGGCTCCTACAGTTTTGATGCTAGAATAAAAATTTTAAGTGAAGTGTATTGTTCTCATTTATGTACCCAGGTAAGGAAAAAGGTATTTGGCAAAAACAAATACTTAGGTAAAATAAAGGTACTTCATTTTCACAGCACGTAGGTAAAGTAAAAGGTCAAAATAATATATATATATATATTTTTGTTTTTATGATTTAAAAAATTTTTTTTTATTAAATTGGGAAAACATTTCAACTTAACTTGAGAATAGGTTTCAGATTTCAGGCCTTTTTTAAATTAACATTTTATTTTCATTTTTAATCAATGAATCATATTTCTTATTATTTAGTAATCAATTCCTTTATCAATCAATCTATCATATTTCTTATAATGCACAAAATTAAGTAATTTAAGTAGAGCCTTTTTCTTTAACATAACAAAGGTTTAAAAATTTTTTACGGGATTAAAAATATATCTAATACACGTTTATATTTATGTAAAGCTGGGAAATTTGTATCATAATCAGTGAAATAGGCCAAAACCTCTAATTGAAATTTACAATTCTTGAAATCTTTTTCGACTTTTGATTTTATTTGCAAGCTAGAATTTTAAAACTTCCGAACGTTTGTGACAACACTGTCACTAACAAAATTGTATTTATAATCCACTTTTTATACCCTTGCAGAGGGTCTTATGATTTCAGTCAGAAGTTTGCAACGCAGTGGAGGGGACGTTTCCGACCCTATAAAGTATATATATTCTTGATCAGCATCACTAGTCGAGTCGATCTAGCCATGCCCGTCTGCCCGTCTGTCTGTCTGTCCGTACGAACGCTGAGATCTCGGAAACTATAAGAGCTAGGCTATTGGGATTTGGCACGCAGATTCCTGAGCTTCTTGCGCAGCGCAAGTTTGTTTCAGCAAGCTGCCACGCCCACTCTAACGCCCAAAACGGGTGCTCCTAAAGTGTTAATGTTAGAATAAAAATTTTAGCTGCAATGTATTTTTCTCAACAGTACCTATCGATTCACCAAAAAAAAGTTTGCCACGCCCACTTTAAGGCTCACAAGACGCCCACAAACTTCAAAAAATCGTAAAAATAAACGCGGATATCCCGGAAACTATCAAAGATAGAGAATGGGGGTTTCAGATTTAGTATCCGTAGCCTTCTACGCAGGGCAACTGGACGACTATATCACATAGCTGCCACATAGCTGAATCAAATTATAGCTTTGGTATTTTTTGACATATTATTCGGAATATGATTTTTTGTATTTTTAAGAATTTTAATAAACTTTAATAATTATAACTGTAAGGGTATACAATCTTTGGCTTGCCGAAGCTAACTTCCTTTCTTGTTTTATCCTGCAATGGGACCAACTTAAGTTTGAACTTTGGAACAGTCACACACGGGCACAAAAGGTTTCAATTCAAAACCTCGTTTTTCACTATCGTGGAACGAATTCCATCTAGTAGCACACGAAGCTGCAAGCTAGAGATGACAAATTGCTTCTACTTCATCTGCACCAAACGTTGACCTGCTTACATAGTTCCGCAAAGATATAGCTTTACAATCGTGTAAATGAAATATTCTAAAGTGCCTTATGTGCATCTTTTGTGACTACTGAGTTTAAAGTGCGGGAAGCGCATCTAAAATTATTTGGGAGAACTATTTCACTTGTCTCACATACATCGATCACTCTGACAATTCAGGATGGACGGAATTCGATCCTGCGAATGTTTCCAAGCTGTATATCTGAAATGCTTTGCTGAAATTTGAAGCGTTGTCGGTAACAGTGCCGCATATTAAGAATGTATATCTGACAATCTTTTTTTTAAATCACGTGTATGAGAAAAACTGTACACAAACCGTGAACATATTAATATATATTAAGTTACTACATTTTGTTATTTATTAAATTACCTGTGTAGAACTCACGAAGCTAAAGTACGATCTTGTTTCTTTTCGTTCCTTTAAATGAACTTTTTTTTGATTTCATACTCTGAGTAGATGGTCGAAAGAACCCTATAAAATTTATAACAATTTTTTTTTAATATTATATCAAATTATTTAGAAATATACCGAGAAGTATAAAATTTTTTGTGACACTTAGACTTGATTTATTGTATGTTACATATGTATGCTGTGTGTGGCGGTCAAAAATGTGTATTTACAAACATTTGACTAAATATTTATGCACATACTTACATACATCACTATAAATGGCAGTCCATGTAGTGACGAAGCGCAGGAGAGTGAGCGAAGGCGACTACTATCACTGTGGACAGCAGTCCACGTAGTGACGAAGCGCACCAGGAGGGTGTGCGAAGACGACTACTATATATACACGAAGAAATGAAAATCTACTGTAATCGTCCGATTGTTTCGAGTGATACATAACTAGTGGTACAACAATCAAAAGATATTGCCAAACCTAAAAGGATTGCATACAAGGACTGTAACAATTGTAATTCGTTTGGGAAAAAGATCGATGAAAGTGTAAAGGTAAAAATTAAGAAAATTTAAGCTGTATGAAGATGAATTATGTGATTTATGTCTAAAACAAAAACTTCTGATATCAAAGAAAAACACCTCATAAAGAGGTAAAAATCTAGTGACGATCGCAACTTCAGCAAACAAAAGTTCTGATATCAACTTTGGAGATAAAAATGTATTATACGATTTACTAGAAAAATACAATTTCTTAATTTTTTAAATTCGGCTCTTTGCTTCTCAATATGCTTGGACTTAGCTGCACGATTGTATTTATCTAACAGAACGCATAATCAGAACTTTTGTTTGCTGAAGGTGTGATTGTCACTAGATTTTTACCTCGTTAAGAGGTGTTTTTGTTTGATACATATATAGCCGCAGAATTAAAAATCTGCTGCGATGGTCTGATAGTATCGAATGATGGACCAATCGAAAGGTATTGCAAAATGTAAAAAGATTGCATATTAAATCTTAACATAGAAATCTTAATTGGTTTAGGAGAAAGAGCGGTGAAAGTGTAAAAGTAAAAATTTAGGAAATCTGAGCTGTTGGATAAATGCTCCCGGCTATTAACCTAGTTCTTTTTTTTACTGAGAATAGGCGTCGAATGACACCTCATATGTTAAAATCCGATGCCCCGTTCAAAATTTATTCCAAAAACAAGATTTTGAGGGTTTTTCCAAAATGAAAATATTTGTCACTTTGTTTGTGGGTTTGTATAAATCCCTTTTTTAATTTCTTGGGAACTGTATAAGAGTATTAAGACGCTCAAAATATAAAACTTTTGTTCTACGACTTTTTAAAAAACCAGCAAGTTTGGCGGGAAATCCATAAAATAGCTACAATTTAAAGGATTAAAGTTTCTTAACAACTAATGCTACAGAAGCGCGATATATGTCGCTGAAAAGGTAATATAATTTGCTAATCACGCTACCTTTGCTTAAATTGTCTTAATACAATAGATTTTAAGTTATATCTAAAAAATTTTATGTTAACCACTTTTTTGCTATTTTCTTAAAATTGGTTTGAACGATTTCTTTTTAAATTTTAAACTATAAAGCCTTTAAGATTTCTCAACTTTTGATATATATCACTTTTTATTATTAAAAACTTAAAAAATTAAAGACTACAAATCTTTTAATTAAATCCATTATAAAAACTGTATATGTTGCAGTTGGATTTCCGATGTCTAACTACATATAAGTTATTTAATATCCTAGATAGACGGTTTCTATACTTAAGAATAGTTTCTATACTTTCTATACCTATACTTTCGACTAAATAAATGCACTTTCTAAAAAGTTTACATTTACATTCGTCACAAAATTGTATATCAGAACTTTTGTACGTTGAAGGTGAAATCGTCACGACCCCTTACCTCGTTTGGAGGTGTTTTTGTTTCATAAATATAAACCGCCAAATTTAAATGATATAATAAAACTCCTTGCAACCTCATATTTACATATATACACATGAATAAATAATAAAGCACATTAACTGAACTTTAGGTGTTCGTGTAAATTTCTTATTCACACACATGCCGATCAACTACAAGAATCTTCCATTTAATATCACTGGTTAAGCCTAGTACTCACATCGACGAAAACCGCGAGCTAACCAAAGAAGTGAGCGAGAGGCAAACAGGCGGCTAAAGCTTTTCGTCGGGTCTGTTTTTCAGCGCGGTACTCAGTTGAGCTAAGGAAATACCAGAAAAATACCAGATTTAGCTAGTGAATTTCGATGATATATATACATACTTACAGTTAAATCCGCTTAGGGTGATTCCTGGCGTATAAGGGCTTATAGATTAAAGCAAGACTATTAAAATAGAAATTTTAGAAATGCACTGTGTTTTTTATTT